TCCCCCCCGGGCAGGCGGCGTGGCCAGCGGGGCTGTGTAAAAAGCACGGGACCTTCTTCTTTTTTTTTCCTGTGTCATTTATTTTTTAAAGAGGTTCGTCTGCTCTTAAAAAACCGGACCGGCAGGACTGCGCCGTATGGGAGCTTGAATCCAAATTAAAGTGCGCGCACCGATCTCGTCGAGTTAAAACGGGACGTTGCGGGTACTTGGTTTAATTTCTGCGTCGACAGCCAACTTTCACCATCCTTCGAGAGCAGCAGGGGAGTTTGTAAAGGCACAGACCATTATTTTTATGATAGATTAAGGCACTGGAAGTAGGAACAGCGTGCGTGATAAAACCAAACGACCGCATTCAAACAACAGTGATAAATACGTCCTTGGTTTATTTTAAAGCGAGCCCTTGGTCTCTCAGTCTTTTACCTATACACATCTCATTGGGCCACTGACCTACTTCTGAAGTTCTGCGTTTGACAGCGAATAAATGCCCTTTCAGTTCAGCAGTACTTCTTCAACGCGGGTGCTGAAAGCACGGCCGGAGCAAACCGAAGCTCAGGCAGCCGGAGCAAGCACCCTGCCGTTGCTCTCAAGGCAGATCCCTAGAGAACGCCCCGCCGTGACTCCGGCTCTCATCACGCCCTGCTCGGTCTCGGTGAGGTTTAGGTACAGAGTGGGCAACTCTCAGCGGGCAGGCAGTGACGTGCCGTATAAATGCACCCACGGCCACAAGAACAACAGCCATGCCGACGTGCCTAGAGCCGCCAGGCAGCCAGGGATGAGCCCAGCACGTCGTGCACGGTGGCGAGAGGCACATATGCTCAGCAGTGTCGGCAGCAGAGCCCGAACTGCCTTGGGGAAGAAAGAGCGTTCTCAGCCTCAGGTTTGGCGTGACGTGCAGCAGGGAAGAAACACGGAGCAGTTACACACGGGTTGTACCCTCGCTACGCCTCTTCTGCAGACAATTGTGGTCTCCCAGCTACCCAGTAACGTTCGTATTTTCTTAGTGGCAAACCCAGAAAACCGTGCTTAGACTTCACACTTCTGTCCTCTAATTGAAAACGACTGTCATCTGCTGCATTTTGTGCAGGGTATGTTAAGTTTTCAGGTTTCTGGCTAGTTGGTAACGCTGCCCTTCAACGGGCAAGACAGAACGCGAGCATCGTCGTCTCTCGAAAGCAATTATTAGAGTAGGCAAGTATTTCAGAAAATAAAAGTGTACAGCAGCTTAGCACATCTACTACCCCTCCGTGTGGGCGCTTGTGGCCTAATCTTTAAATAGTTGTGACCTTCACAGACTGGACTACCTTAAAGCCATGCCAAGTTTTTGTCAGGCGTACGATTCGTCAAATCCCTGTAAAGGGACACCTCGGTTTTTAAAACAGGGTTCAGCTGCGAGACGGACAAACAGAAACAAGGGCAGGGATCAGGCTTTCTCTACTCATCTCAGGGTTAGATACGGCATGGATTTATGCAGTACCTTTTGAAGTGTTTAGGATTTTTTTCTCTCTTTTGCTGCATTTAGCTTTAAAATCTGGAATAATTTCAAACAGTGAAAAGCCTTTGTTCTGGATTCTGTATCTGTACCGATGCTCGGCAAATGCACCCCTTCCGAACTTCTGCTGCGGGACTCGGGTCTCCCCTCTTTTGCTGCCCACAGGTCATCCATAGGTCTGCCAAGAAAAGTTTTTGTTTTTTTTTCCTAATCCACCACCCGAGGCATGCGGTGTTTTAAACAATGAGACATCAGTCAAAACAGAGTAATTATAAAATCAGATCCCCAAAGTTTTACCAAAAGAGTGAAGTGTGTATCCAAGTATCT